CAAGCAATATAAGGAGACAAATGACAACAATAATTCAACACCGCAAAATCTGTGGGATGCAGCGAAGGCCGTGCTAAGAGGAAAGTATATTGCAATACAGGCCTACCTCAGGAAAGAAGAACAATCCCATATAAACACTCTAAACTCACAATTAACAAAACTAGAAAAAGAAGAATAAATGAGGCGCAAAGTCAGTAGAAGAAGGGACATTAATAAAGATTAGAGCATAAATAAATAAAATCAAGAAAATAAAACAAAAGAATCAATGAAAGCAAGAGCTGGTTCTTTGAGAAAATAAACAAAATAGATAAACCCCTAGCCAGGCTGAATCAATAAAAAAAGAGAGTCTACTCACACAAACAGAATCAGAAATGAGAAAGGAAAAATGACTACAGACACCACAGAAATACAAAGAATAATTAGAGAATACTATGAAAAATAATATGCTAACAAACTGGATAACCTAGAAGAAATGGACAACTTTCTAGAAAAATACAACCTTCCAAGGCTGACCCAGAAAGAAACAGAAAATTTGAACAGACCAATTACCAGCAACAAAATTCAACTGGTAATCAAAAACCTACCTAAGAACAAAACACCAGGACCAGATGGCTTCACCGCTGAATTTTATCAAACATCTAGTGAAGACCTAATACCCATCCTCCTAAAAGTTTTCCAAAGAGTAGAAGAAGAGGGTATATTTCCAAACTCATTCTATGAGGCCAGCATCACTCTAATACCAAAATCAGGCAAAGACACCACAAAAAAAGAAAATTACAGACCAATATCCCTGACGAACATAGATGCAAAAATACTCAACAAAATATTGGCAAACCGAATTCAGAAATACATCAAAAAGATCATCCATCATGATCAAGTAGGATTTATGCCAGGGATGCAAGGATGGTACAACATTCGAAAATCCATCAACATCATCCACCACCACATCAACAAAAAGAAAGACAAAAACTATATGATCATCTGCATAGATGCTCAAAAAGCATTTGACAAAATTCAGCATCCATTCATGATAAAAACTCTAAACAAAATGGGTATAGAGGGCAAGTACCTCAACATAATAAAGGTCATATGTGATAAACCCACAGCCAACATTGTACGTAACAGTGAGAAGCTGAAAGCTTTTCCTTGAAGATCAGGAACAAGACAAGGATGCCCACTCTCCCCACTTCTATTCAACATAGTGCTGGAGGTCTTAGCCACAGCAATCAGACAACACAAAGAAATAAAAGGCATCCAGATTGGCAAGGAAGAAGTTAAACTGTCCCTGTTTGCAGATGACATGATATTGTACATAAAAAACCCTAAAGAATCCACTCCAAAACTACTAGATCTAATATCTAAATTCAGCAAAGTTACAGGATTCAAAATTAATACACAGAAATCTGTGGCATTCCTATACACTAACAATGAACTAGCAGAAAGAGAAATCAGGAAAACAATTCCATTCACAGTTGCATCAAAAAGAATAAAATACCTAGGAATAAACCTAACCAAGGAAGTGAAAGACCTATACTCTGAAAACTACAAGACACTCATGAGAGAAAGTAAAGAAGATACCAATAAATGGAAACACATCCTGTGCTCATGGATAGGAAGAATTAATATTGTCAAAATGGCCACCCTGCCTAAAGCAATCTACAGATTCAATGCAATCCCTATCAAAATACCAATAGCATTCTTTAATGAACTAGAGAAAATTGTTCTAAAATTCATATGGAACCACAAAAGACCCTGAATAGCCAAAGCAATCCTGAGAAGGAAGAAAAAAGCAGGGGGGATTATGCTCCCCAACTTCAAGCTCTACTACCAAGCCACAATAATCAAGACAATTTGGTACTGGCACAAGAAAAGACCCATAGACCAATGGAACAGACTAGAGAGCCCTGATGTAAACCCAACTGTATATGGTCAATTAATATATGATAAAGGAGCCATGGACATACAATGGGGAAATGACAGCCTCTTCAACAGCTGGTGTTGGCAAAACTGGAGAGTTAAATGCAAGAGAATCAAACTGGACTTTAACCCCATACACAAAAGTTAACTCGAAATGGATCAAAGACCTGAATGTAAGTCATGAAACCATAAAACTCTTGAAGACAACATAGGCAAACATCTCCTGAATATATAAGCATGAACAACTTCTTCCTGAATGCGTCTCCTTCAGCAAGGGAAACAAAAGTAAAAATGAACTCATGGGACTACATTAAACTAAAAAGTTTCTGTACGGCAAAGGACACCATCAACAGAACAAAAAGGCATCCTACAGTATGGGAGAATATATTGTAAATGACATATCCAACAAGGGGTTAACATCCAAAATATATAAAGAACTCACATGCCTCAACACCCAAAAAGCAAATAACCCGATTAAAAAATGAGCAGAGGATATGAAGAGACAGTTCTCCAAAGAAGAAATTCAGATTCTTCAGACACATGAAAAGATGCTCCACATCACTAATCATCAGGGAAATGCAAATTAAAACCACAATGAGATATGACCTCACACCAGTAAGGGGAGCCAGCATGGAAAAGACTAAGAACAACAAATGCTGGCAAGAATGCGGAGAAAGGGGAACCCTCCTACACTGCTGGTGGGAATGTAAGCTAGTCCAGTCACTGTGGAAAGCAATGTGGAGGTTCCTCAAAAAACTAAAAATAGAAATACCATTTGACCCGGGAATCCCATTCCTTGGGATTTACCCAAAGAATACAATTTATCAGACTCAAAAAGACATATGCACCCCTATGTTTATTGCAGCACTATTTACAATAGACAAGATATGGAAGCAACCTAAGTGTCCATCAGATGGATGAATAAAGAAGATGTGGTATATTACACAATGGAATACTATTCAGCCATAAGAAAGGAACAAATCCTACCATTTGCAACAACATGGATGTAGCTGGAGGTATGCTCAGTGAAATAAGCCAGGCGGAGAAAGACAAGTACCAAATGATTTCCCTCATTTGTGGAGTATAACAATGAAGCAAAACTGAAGGAACAAAATAGCAGTAGACTCAGAGATTCCAAGAAGGGACTAGAGATTACCAAAGGGAAGGAGTTTTGGGGGGCAGGTGGGGAGGGAGGGAGAAGGGGATGGAGGGGTATTATGTTTAGTACACATGGTGGGGGGGATCATGGGGAAAACAGTGTAGCACAGAGAAGGCAAATAGTGGATCTCTGGCATCTTGCTGCACTGATGGACAGTGACTGCATTGGGGTATGGGTAGGGACTTGATAATATGGGTAAATGTAGTAACCACATTGTTTTTTCATGTGAAACCTTCATAAGAGTGTATATCAATAATACCCTTAATAAAAAATTTTAAGAAAAGAAAGTAAGAAGCAAATCAGAAGAAACTTGGCACATGCTCCTACCACTACACCTACCTACCCACTTGCTTCCATGCCTTTGTGGTCTCTGCCTTCCCTCCTGTTACCATGGAAGAAATATCTATCTATGTTCTTACCTAAGGCCAAGTGCTTATCTATGGATCAGATTCCATTCCTTCTTGCCTCCTCCAGGACATTACTCAATTTTCCCACTCTGCTTATTACTTCATCAGCATACAAACAGAAGCTGAAATATCTCCCATCTTTGGGAAAAAAGCCAACCTTCAATTCCGTATCCTCCTCCAGCAACCATTCCATTTATCTGCGTGTCCCCTACTCCACACACATACAAAGTCCCGCCACCCTTTCCCACAAACTCCTTAAGAGATTCTATGTCAATACCTCCAATTCCTCTCCTCCTATACCTGCCTTCTTGAACCCATTCCAATTAAACTTTCACCTTCACCTTCCACCACACCACACTAAAACTACTCAAAAGGGTACCTTGTTGTTTGGAGGTCCCCAAAAATGACTCCCATGTTGCTAATACCAATGTCAATCTCAGTCTTCAGCATGGGCACAGCTGATCACCCACTATATCCTGGAGTCTCCTTCTAGCAGCTCTTGGTTTTCTTCCTTTCTTCTTCCCTAGAGGCTCTTGCACAGCTTCCTCTGCTTGATACTCTTCATCTCCCAGAACTCTGATGTAGGACAGTCCCAGGCCTCAGACCTTTTCTCCATCTATACTCACTCCCTAGGTGATCTCACCCAGCATGTGGTTTTCACTATCTTTCAAATTTCTCTCTCTAGCCTAGACCTCTCTTGTGAACTTCAGAGTTTGACAACCAATCACCAATTCATTATTTTCTCTAGGATGTCTAACAGGCATTTCAAACTTGACTTGTCCACACTGAACGCCTACCTTCCCCCAAACTGCGCTGTGGTCTAACCCATCTGCCTGGTTTATGCCAGCAGCCTCCTAAGCGGTCCTTTTGCCACCCTTGTGCTCCTACAGTCTGTTCTCAACACAGGACCTAGTGATCTTTTTAAAAGGTAAATCACTTCTCCTCTGTTCCAAATTCTCCAGTGGCTCTCCATCTCACAGAGTAAAACTCAGAGTCCTTACAAAGTCCTGTGATGTTCTCCCATGGAATTCCAGCTTTGTGACCAGTGCGTCCTGCCACAATGGCCTCCTTGCTCTCCCCAGTCTCAGGGCCTCAGCATTTCCTAAGGTCTGCAATAGCTATTCTCCCAGACCACCGTTTAGCTTATTCTATTGCTTTCTTCAGGTCTTTGCCATATTGTCACTTTATCAGTAAGGTCTTCCCTGACCCTATCCCCACCCGTGATAGAAAATATCATCACCCCACACCAATATATCCTATTCCCTTTGTCTGCTTCATATTTTCTCTAAAGCATCTACATACTTTGTATTTATATATTTCTTCCTATTTGCTTGACTGTCTAGGAGTTTGTCTTTTCTATTTATGGCAGTTTCCCTAACAACAGTCTTAGACATAAAAAGGCACTCAATAAACCTGCTGAATGAGTACATGAATTCTTGTACTCTTCAATCACTGAAGGAGAGCTTTAGGGAAAAGGGTGAAAAGGTACTCAAAACAAGGCGCTTCCAGGTACTTACCTGCTCCCCGGCTGGGAGGATCTCGGGCTGGGGGAGGTGGCCTATTACTCTGTAAAGAGGGGGACGCTGAGGTGGGTGGAGGAGGTGCAAGGCCTCTGACAGGCCCTGCTGTCTTCCTATGCAAAGAATTGTGTCTCTGTGGCAGCTCAGGGGCTGATTCATTGGTGGGACTGGAGGGTCCATTGGGGACCCCAGGAGGCTGGCGGTAAGGCGGCGGCGGAGGAGCCAGAGTCTGGCCACTTGGTCCCGTTCTGATATTCACAGGGGAAGGAGGTGGCTTGACTGGGGGTGGAGCAGGATGTCCCTCTCGACCAGGGTGAAGCCTTTGTCCAGGTGTGGGTGGCAAAGGTTTCTCTCTGTTGTAGGCTGGGGCTTTGCTGCTATGCATAGGTAGAGGGGTAGCAGGTGCATTGGCACGCCGCCCTGGAGGGGGTGGAGGAGGGGCAGAGGAACTGTGCTTCATGCCTGTACTGCTGGTGGCATTAGGTCGAGAGAGGTCTGGTAATGAGGGTCTCTGCATCCGGGGCAGTTCTGGGAGTGAGGCTCGGCTGCTGTCTGTATCATCTTGAGGGCGCCCACTGGCTGTAGACACTGGTGGCCTTGGTGCAGCAGCTCGAGAACTGGAGACTTGTAGGGATGGCTTACCAGCTAGGTTCTCTACAAATACATCAGACAGCACTGAGTCAACAGAACTAGATATATGCTGTTCACTATCACTACTTCCCCCAACCTCCTTAGTGCGACCTGCCAGGCAGCAGGGTAAGTACCTGTATATTTCTGAGTTGTAACATGGTTTCAGGCTCAGGACCTGTTAACATATACTGCTGATGTAAGCTAACCACATTTTTATTTAATCCCTCAGCTTTTGCTTTCTTCTACTCTATAACTAATCTCCCTTGCTCCTACTCATCCTTCCTCCACCTCTACTATACTCCTTAACCCCAGATGGCCCACAGGGGACCAGCCAGAAATTCCTGCACTTGGGAAATATCCTAAGTAGCTATCAGATACCTGAACCATCCTTGGCTCCCACGTGTCGGAGCTTCGGCACCCCTCCTTGGAAGAGACCTCCCTTGGACTGCAGGGCAGCTGCTCCAGAGCCATAACCACCACTGCTTCCTTTGGGTTCTGGAAAGCATACCATTAGGGTTTTCATTTCATACACTCTGAGCTGGTGATCATGTCAATCCTGAAGAGAAACCCCTCTTCTATCTTTAGATAGAAGGGTTTAATCTACAAACAAACCAATCTTGCTTTTGCCTTCCCTTTAAAAGAAAAGCTAGGCCTCTCTGCTCCACAGCTTTGTGAATGGGGATGAAACTCTTTGCTGTGATGAAAAAAAAAAATAAGAAAAGGAACAAGGAGATAATCTTCCCTTATTTAGGGCAGAGGGATAACAAGGATAAAGTCATGTTAACAGGGCTCTCTGGGCTCTCCTCTCCAGGTTCCAGATGATAAGGGTGCCAATGGCTCAGGGACGCAGATGTAAGCAAAATCTCTTGAGGCCAATCAGAATGGACACTTGTAGCAATTACCACTGGCTTCGGCTTAGCAGTTTTTAGGAATGTGGTGGTCTCCTCAGAGAGCAGCCAAGGATGTAACCTAACAAGCATTAGTTACAGTGAGACAGGGGTCTTAACCCTGAGAATGCTTCCCAAAAGTCTAAGGTATTCAAATGATCAGACGGGGAAGATAGCCAAAGAACATCCAAAGAAAACTCTCCCAATCAAGGCCCAACAGTCAAAATGTCAGACCAGCCAAGCCTCCAAATCAATCCTGGATCCTGGTGGTTCACCAGAATATGAAGCTTTAGACTCACTCTCAAGGACGGGAGCACTCCGATCATTAACGTTGGTCACCTTCTTCAGTTTGGTCCCTTTGCAGATGTCCTGTAAGAGGGCACCTCTGCCCCGCTGCTCTTCTCTACTCAGCTTGGGCTGCTCTGTGTTTGCCTGGAGGAAGAGGGAAATGTAAATTCATCTGAAATAGTTCCCTTCATCATAAGCTCGGGATAAATATCCTTAGCCAAAATGGACTCCATGAGATGCCTGTCTAACCAAATCAGATATATGTGCCAAATGACAGTAACAACGTACACTATCATTTCTCTGAGTCCTTTATCTTCTACTGTACCTTCCATGAAGGGTATAGTTCTCCCTTCTATGCAGAAACTTCTGATAGGAGGCCTATGCTAATACTTCTGATAGGAGTATATACATGCTAGGCATGTGTGCAGATACCTTACATGCATCATCACCACCAAACATTTACTGAATCCCTTCTATGCCTCAAGTGTGTGCTAATAAGCGCTTTTCTTGTATTATCTCATTTAAATTTGAAATATTCCTATAAGTATTATTATCATTATGCATTTAGAAAGTGTGGGCCAAAGGCCCATGAAGTTTCCTAAGGCCATGCACCCAGTAAACAGTAAAGCAAGCATCAAACCCAGACAGTGACTCTAAAATTCCTATCTTATCCCACCTAATTTATCTTCTTGCCTCCCTATTACTTCAATTTATTGTCTAAACAATGTTACAAAAGAGTTTATTATTCCCATTCCAAAGAGAAGGAAATAAAGGTTTAGGAAAGTTAATGTGACAAATTAGTAAATGCAGAGCTGAGACCTGAATGCTAGTCTGATTGGGTCAAAGCCTGTGCTTTTTCTACTTTCTCTTATCTCTTTCAAAACATGTTTTTTTTTTTAAGTCCTTCATCCTCTACCTACCTCTTCTTAAATGTCGCTTCACAGAGTTCTATCCTCAGCCTCCATCTAAATGTCCCTGAGCAAGCTGAACCAGTCCCATGTTTGAATACCACCTGTAAGCCTCAAAATCTCCAATCTTTGTATTTCATCCCCACTCAACCTGAGCTTCAATCTATATGTACCGATGCCTATAGGACATCTCCAAATAAATATACTACATGTACCTAAAATGCAATACATACCATGTTCCTTATACAATTTTTAAATATAGGGCTATTTAAATTAAACACACAATGAAATTTCTTGAGAGCCTTTAAAAAAATGATTCTTAAATCCATCTGGAAGATTAAGCATATGAAAAAAACTAAGAAAATGGGGCTTGTATCACCAAAAGCTAGGACCAGCTACAACAGAAGCACAGGGACAGACAGCTAGATAAATGGAACAAAACACCAAGTCCATAACAACCTCACATCTATATAAGAAATAATAAAAGTATATTTCATCAGTGCAGATTACTACCTACCTACCTTACAGACCACTCTCCAACAAACTGTAGCTAAATTATAAAACGTAAGTGTAAAAATATAAAATCAAAGAAATACTATCTGAAAAAAATAGATAAGGGGATGCTGACAACTAAAATACAGGGAAAGACTGACGGAATAATACAAATTATTTATTAGAAATTTGTAAGTAAATATGTAGATGATCTATTGGAAAGAATAATCATCTGTGACAAATGCAACATATGACAGACACAAAGACAGTGTCCTAAATCTACAGAGTGTTAACATATAAAGATGATTTATGTATATCAATAGGATAACAACTAAAAGATATGAACAACACTGAAAAAGAAATCAAGAGCCAGCTAACATAAAAAAGAAAATTTCAACTAAACACAAAGACAGTGTCCTAAATCTACAGAGTGTTAACATATAAAGATGATTTATGTATATCAATAGGATAACAACTAAAAGATATGAACAACACTGAAAAAGAAATCAAGAGCCAGCAAAAAAAAAAAAAAAAAAAAAAAGTGCAGGCTAAAACACAGTATCATTGTTTACCAATGAAACTAGTAAAGGTTAAAAGTGTAACTAATGAGACTGCCAGCTTCATAAGGCAGGTTATACTGCTCACTGTTTTACAGTGCCTGGCACATTAAGGATACTCAAAAAATTGTGTAGAATAAATAACTGTCCTACTGTGGTCGCAGGATTCAGGGGAACAGGTACTTTTTTATACTACCTGGAGTAAAACAAATTGTTATGATCTTTCTACAAAGTAATTTTTGTATCAAACATCTTTAAAAAGTCTAGCAGACACACACACAAAAGAAGTCTAGCACAAGAATTCTTCTAGGAATTAACTTTGAGAAAACAACTAGAAAAGTGCACAAAAATGTTAATAATAGCAAAAAACAGTTTATAATAGCATAAAACCGAAAATAATCTAAAAGTTCAACCCAAAGGAACAATGATGGTGTGACCATACATTGGGATGCCAGTCAAGCTCTTAAAGATGTGAAAGTATCTTTACACAGCAGGAAATGTTTGGCCAAATCAAATAAAAATTAATATAAAATAATGCATATATAGCATGATTTGTTTCCTCTTCTACAGGACAAGAATACCATAGAACCTATCTCCTGGGGTGATTTTGAGAATTAAACAATACTTTTCAAGAGCTTAGCACCATTCCTGCTGTAAGGAACTCAATAAACAGTAGTTAGGTTATATTTGGAAAAAAAAGCTATACACATATAGAAATTTTCTGGGAGGATGTACACTGATACTAGCAAAAGTTAATTTGTGGTATTACTTTATTTGTATTTTCTTGTTTTACTACAATAAATATGTAAACCATAAAGTGTTAACAAAGTTACACACAGTTAAAATTAAACACAGTTTAATATTTTCTATTTTTATTGGTATTTTTTCCACATTTTTAGTACAGTAAAAAAATTTTTTAATAATACCACTAGCCATTTAATGATCTAACAAGCCATTCTTCTTACTCATATTGATGAGTAAGAAGAGCAGACTAGAAATCAGTATGTATATTAAGCACAACCTCTTTTTTTAAAAAAGGAGTTGACCCTCAAACAACATGGAGGTTAGGGGTGCCAACCCCTATCACAATCGAAAATATATATATAACTTTTGACCCCCAAAAACTTAATAGCTTTCTGTTGACCAGAAGCCTTAAAATAACATAAACAGCCAATTAACATGTATTTTGTATGTTATATGCATTGAACACTGTATTCTTAAAATTAAGCTAGAGAAAAAAAAATGTTTTCAAACTGTCACAGAGCTCAAAAAAATTTTCTAGTACTATCTATTGAAGAAAGTCTGTGTATAAGTGGACCCACACAGTTCATACCTGTGTTGTTCAAGGGTCAACTGTAGAAGATAAAAGAGAGAGAGGGTAGGAAAGAATATACACAAAACTTGTGAATGGTTGGATTATGGATAATTGCTCTTTTTTGCTTGTTCACAGTTTTTATTTATTGAACAAATTGCTTCTGTAAAGAGAAAATACTAAATATGTCCAAAATTAAGCCTATCTCCTCCTCCATTAACTGTTTCTCTTTGTAATAGCACCATCATTCAATCAATCCTCCAAACTGGAGTCAAATCTCCTTCCTTTTTCTCACTCTACCATCTGTCACGAACTATTTCAAGAGTTTACTTTCTAAGTGTCTCATCTTTACTCTCCATCCTCACTGCTTTAGTTCAGACTAGACTCTCAACTGTCAACTGCAACAGGCTTTTGTTTTCAGCCCCAACCCACCATCCACATTGTTCAGGACCTTTCTGATACAAACCCTATTAGGTTGTTCCTGCTGCTAAAAATATACTACCTCCCTATTATTGCCAGGAGAAAAATCTAAACCCTCAGCCTGCACCTCCAGCTTCATCTCCCACCATATCCCCAGGATCAAGAGCCTAAACCTCTGTACTTTCTCGCAAATCAGCATCCTTCCACAACCTACCTCCTCAATGTCAAGTGCCCTCCATTCTTCTTCTCTTTCTGGTTATAACTCTACTCATCTTTTAAGACTCAGCTCAAATATTACCTCCCTGCTTCTCTGACTGCCTCCTCTTCATCCAGCCACTAGGTGAGGGGCCCTGCTTTGTGGCCCCATTTCTCTTTGTGGAGCACAGGATTTGCTTGTTGACTTGTGTGTCTCACCCACTGCATTGGAGTTCTTGAAGGTGGAAACTGTCTCAATTCTGGGTGATGGTACTACAGATGATTTTTATTTGTTTCATTTTGCTTATCCATTTTCCTCTTTATTTTATAAATAAGTTGTTCTTGTAAAAGTGCCAAGCAATACAGAGTAAAATTATCTGGATTTTCTAAATTGCATGACTAGCTAAGTCCCCATTACATAGTAAGCCCCCAACAAAAGGCTATTGAGTGAATGACTAAGACAGCACAATGCAGGGCAGTCATCCAAGGGGTTATGGAGATCCAAGGATATACACTGGATACTTCAACATAACCAGCTCTGCTTTTATCTACTTCATTTATGGGGCTTTCGCACAAAATTTCATCCAAAAAGGGGATTCATACATATCCTCAAATAAAATGTCTGAGAACTAGAAGTTATGGGAGAAAAAGCAAGTTGGCAGACCTGAATTCCAGTCCTAATTCTGAAGTAAATTAGCTAGGCAACTCACTTTTCCTCTTTAGGATGAAATTTCTACACACACACAAACACACACCCTTCTAGGATATTTATTCTCTAAACTTATTTTTGTTTCTAAATTTTACAAAATGAAATAAACACCCATGTTGCTTCTTTCTCATGTGACACCAGACACCACAGTTCAGATACAGCAAAAGTAGCTGCCTTTTTGGTTCAGAAGCCACACTGCTTTTTTTCCTCCCATTATCAAACCTTTAAGTATTCTTACTAATCATTCAATAAATTCCTTTTCTTGATGAGGTGTTAGACTTGATAGACTTGGCTTTAAAATGAATTGATCTGAAGTAGAAAAGGAGGAAATAAAATGGAAGCAAGAAATAACCACCAAGAATTGCCATCTCTTTTCTCAAGGATGCCAGACAAATGATGCACTGACCTATGTAGAAAAAACAGTTTTAGGGAGAAACACTAGTTCTTACTTTGACGCCACCTGTCCAAATCTCATTTAGACCAAACCAGGACAAGAAAACAAGATAAGCCATTGTGGTCTTAAGAGGACCTCTCATGAATAAGGAGTAGGTGATGAGGACAGACTACTGATACAAACCCTATTAGGTTGTTCCTGCTGCTAAAAATATACTACCTCCCTATTATTGCCAGGAGAAAAATCTAAACCCTCAGCCTGCACCTCCAGCTTCATCTCCCACCATATCCCCAGGATCAAGAGCCTAAACCTCTGTACTTTCTCGCAAATCAGCATCCTTCCACAACCTACCTCCTCAATGTCAAGTGCCCTCCATTCTTCTTCTCTTTCTGGTTATAACTCTACTCATCTTTTAAGACTCAGCTCAAATATTACCTCCCTGCTTCTCTGACTGCCTCCTCTTCATCCAGCCACTAGGTGAGGGGCCCTGCTTTGTGGCCCCATTTCTCTTTGTGGAGCACAGGATTTGCTTGTTGACTTGTGTGTCTCACCCACTGCATTGGAGTTCTTGAAGGTGGAAACTGTCTCAATTCTGGGTGATGGTACTACAGATGATTTTTATTTGTTTCATTTTGCTTATCCATTTTCCTCTTTATTTTATAAATAAGTTGTTCTTGTAAAAGTGCCAAGCAATACAGAGTAAAATTATCTGGATTTTCTAAATTGCATGACTAGCTAAGTCCCCATTACATAGTAAGCCCCCAACAAAAGGCTATTGAGTGAATGACTAAGACAGCACAATGCAGGGCAGTCATCCAAGGGGTTATGGAGATCCAAGGATATACACTGGATACTTCAACATAACCAGCTCTGCTTTTATCTACTTCATTTATGGGGCTTTCGCACAAAATTTCATCCAAAAAGGGGATTCATACATATCCTCAAATAAAATGTCTGAGAACTAGAAGTTATGGGAGAAAAAGCAAGTTGGCAGACCTGAATTCCAGTCCTAATTCTGAAGTAAATTAGCTAGGCAACTCACTTTTCCTCTTTAGGATGAAATTTCTACACACACACAAACACACACCCTTCTAGGATATTTATTCTCTAAACTTATTTTTGTTTCTAAATTTTACAAAATGAAATAAACACCCATGTTGCTTCTTTCTCATGTGACACCAGACACCACAGTTCAGATACAGCAAAAGTAGCTGCCTTTTTGGTTCAGAAGCCACACTGCTTTTTTTCCTCCCATTATCAAACCTTTAAGTATTCTTACTAATCATTCAATAAATTCCTTTTCTTGATGAGGTGTTAGACTTGATAGACTTGGCTTTAAAATGAATTGATCTGAAGTAGAAAAGGAGGAAATAAAATGGAAGCAAGAAATAACCACCAAGAATTGCCATCTCTTTTCTCAAGGATGCCAGACAAATGATGCACTGACCTATGTAGAAAAAACAGTTTTAGGGAGAAACACTAGTTCTTACTTTGACGCCACCTGTCCAAATCTCATTTAGACCAAACCAGGACAAGAAAACAAGATAAGCCATTGTGGTCTTAAGAGGACCTCTCATGAATAAGGAGTAGGTGATGAGGACAGACTTTACTTATTTATTCTCCATCTTCTTACACCATACGTCTTTGAGTATGCTATGTCTTATACCAGGAAGCAAAGTATCCGTGAAGGTTTTGAGGTAATTTAATCAGGCACCTACCTGATTAGAAGTGGGAGGTGGAGGAGGACCAGGGGGCGGTGGAGGTGGGGGAGGAATTGGCATCCTTGCCCTGATCGCAGTTGGCACTGCTCTCTCTCCGTTTTAAGTTGCAGCTTTAGGTCACTCATATACCTGCAAATGAAATATAAATTCATGAGAACTTCACCATTAGAGACACTGAGTACCCAGGAGAACTAGAGGACTAGGCATGAAACCACAGAAAAACCAAGTATCTCATCTCCTAGTTCCACTGTGATGACACAGTCCAGGGCTTGGTGAACTTTTTCTGTAAAAGGCCAGATAACAAACATTTTAGGCTTTGTATTCCACATATGGTCACTGTCACATATTATTGGTTTATTTTGACCTTTTTAAAAAATTAATAAACTTTATTTTTTAGAGTAGTTTTAGATTCACAGCAAAACTGAGCAGAAAGTACACAGAACACTCATAAAACTGTTCCCGCCACACACAACCACAGCCTCCCCCACTATCTATATCCTGCAGTGGTACATGTGTTACAACTGATTAACCTACATGAACACTTCATTATTCACCCAAAGTCCACAGTTTACATTAGTCCATAGTTTACATTACATTCTTGGTGTTGTACATTCCATGGGTTTGGATAAAAGACTGCATGCATGGCACGCTCTTATCAGTGACATTTAGTATAATGACAACTACCCACCATTGTAGTATCGTACAGAATTGTTCCACTGCTCTAAAAATAATCAGTGCTCTGCCTATTTATCCCTCCTTCTCCCCCAACTCCTGTTTTCTATTGTCTCCACAGTTTTGCCTTTCTAGAATGTCATATAGTTGGAACCATATAATATACTGCCTTTTCAGATTAGTTACTTAGTAATATGCATTTAAGTTTCTTCCATGTCTTCGCAGAGCTTAACAGCTCATTTCTTTTTAGCTCTGAGTAATATTCCATTGTCTGGATGTATCACAATTTGTTGGCTGCTTCCAGGTTTTAGCAATCATGAATAAAGCCGCTATATATCCACATTCAGGTTTTTGTGTCATTTGAGCAAATACAAAGGAGCATGACTGCCGGGTCATAAGAGTAAGTTTTATAATAAGCTGCCAAATTGTCTTCCAAATTAACAGTTTGCATTCCCACCAACAATGATTCATAGTTACTGCTGCTCCACATCCTTGCAGCATTTGGTGTTGTCAGTGTTTTAGATTTTCGCCATTCTAATAGGTGTATAATGGTATCTGATTGTTTTAATTTGTAATTCACTGGCGGTAATGAATTTGAACATGTTTTCATATGGTTACTTGCCATCTATATATCTTCTCACGTGAGGTATCTGTTCAGGTTTTTTGCCCAGTTTGTAACAGGGTTGTTTGTTTTCTTATTGGGTTTTAAGAGTTCTTTGCATATTTTGGATAACAGTCCTTTATGAGATATGTCTTTTACAAGTATTTTCTCCCAGTCAGTGGCTTGTCTTCTCATTCTCGATTTTTGCAACATTCAAAAAATGTAAAAACCATCTTTAGTTTCATGGGCCATATAACAACAGATCACGGTCCTGATCTGACTCCGAGGCTATAGTTTATTCTCCCCTAGTATAAGCACATCCCTGGCATCTGATCAGAGCATAAATGCCATGTGAGGATTTAGCTACTTATCAGGTCTCAAAGAACTATACAGCTGTCCCCTATTATAGTCTGTAAGTGATCCTAATTTTATAAATGAGAGTAAAAACAGGGAATTGTCCTCCCCTAAGACACTAAAGCAGGGGGCAAAGATACAGCCAAAACTCAAGGGTAATAACTACCCTCAAAAAACTGTCCCAAAGCCCTACTTCTTGACCTCAAAAAAATCAAAGCCAAAATAACACAACCTCTGTGAGTACAACTTACAGATGAAAAGAAAAGTTCAAGACAGGGTAATCAACTTTACCAATTAATCAATGGAATAACTGCTTCCAAGCAAGGGGATTACTGAGATTAGGACACAGGCAAACTCAAAGGTACCCCCTAGCTGAGAGAGGAGATCACATGTATCAAGTCAAGCCTAAAAGATCATACCAGCATAGCAGTTCATTGGGGAGGTTTGGTTCTGAAATCTTTGCAGGGTTGATCAAAATCTGTGAATAAAGGAGTCACCACTTAAACATTTCTCTCGATGCCCTAAGAATGATGAAAGGAAAGGGCAAATATTCCAAAGGTTCTATAAAACCAAAGACCTTTGTAGATAGGTAGAATCTGATCAGAAACATGACCGTGAAGGTCTTCAAAATTCCAACCCTTCTAATGTAATGCCATTATAGGCCAGCTGCCTAACCACAGACTAAGAACTGCATGGTACTTTGGCTATGTGGTTTCCATGGGGAATGGTGTCTGAATTTGCTTCAAGAAATTAGCAGCTGACTCCCATCCAAGGGAAAAACTCTATATTTCTCATTTCAAATCTAAGTCTAGTTTTCTGTGCCAGGATCTAACACACTAGGCTTTAAAAATTGATTAATATAGTGAATCCTCATAAGTAAAACATCTACCATGGGGTGAGAAGGGGAGAATTTAAAATAGAAGAAACATACAGAGTAGAAGAGAACACTTTCTATTTTAATTCCCTGGGTTTACTCTGACCATTTCATTCCAAAATCCCTACAGCATTTTTTTAAAAAGTTAGCAGGAAAAATGATAGTTTATTCAGAAATATTTTCAACTAATTCCAGTCACCTCATTTCCTGCCTTTTCTGGGTATCCAGGTCTACCTTCCTCTGGCCATTGCCAAGGTTGAAAAAGTCTCCTAAAATGACCTGGAAAGGAAATTCAGACAAGTCCCCAATTCTTTCCATATCCACTGGTGATCCAATCCACATGCTATGATTAAAAAAGGACTTCAAGGAACAACCTTATGCCTGAAAGTGAATACCATTTGTTAGGCAAAGTAGTAAATCTTTAGCAAGGCGAATCTTTTTTTTAAAGCAACCCTCTGGAAAAGACCACTACTACATTACACAGAGTATTCTTAAAATAAGCTCAATTAAAACTCCAATTTCAAAACAGAGCCATAAAAAAAAAAAAAAAAACACCTTCATCAAGTGATCAAGCGACAGACTTTAATACTGACAGACAGCAGTAGCTCTCAACCTTCCTTCTGCCTCCGGAAGGATTGCATGCATGGCATGCTCTTATCGGTGACATTTAGTATATAGTGATGTTACATAAGTATTACTGCTTCCCATTTTATGAGTAAGGATCCTAAAACTCTGGGAATGGGAATGCATGCATGCATGCACACTAGGGAGAAACAGACTGATCTGTGGGCAACCGCCAAGATCACTCAGGACTAAACTGCTAAGTTAGGACTCAAATCCAGTTCTTCTGATAGCTATTTAACCAATCACTAAAAAAACACCTCTGCTGGAAATTGGTTTGGCTTAGCAATTTTCCATTTTTCCACAAATGAAAATTCAATCCACTCTAAATTTCTACCTTAGTGACAGAATACAAACAGATATATATATATTGTTTTAATGTGGCTAATTTTTTAAAATTAAAGTATCACTGATAAACCATCTTATGATGGTTTCAAATACACAACACAGTAGTTCAACATTCACCCATATTATCAAGTCCTCATCCCCTCTAATGGGGTCACTGTCCATCAACATAGTAAGATGTTACAGAAGCATTAACTGTATTCTCTGTGCTGTACCACCATCCCCGTGACCAACCTATACATGATTGTGAAGTATATGAACAGCTGTATTTTACAAAAGCAGCCTAACTTGAGTAATTTTACATTAATACAACTTTCCTTTCCCTGAAAAATCCCCAACAGAAGCTTTATTCAGAACAATTTAAGATTGATATTTATGATCACTATCCAATGAAGAAAGTCTGATCAGAAAACCACTTTCAGTTAAAAACGTATAAATCAAAAACAATTCATAATGTTTTATGACAGAAAGACAAATTTTAGTGACCAAATATTTTTAATCAAAGGACAAATTCATGCCTTCTAGAAGCACAGTCTATTCCAATTTTGAGAAGGCAACATTCCTGAGATTAAACTGAAAAAGGGGGGTTTCTCTACATTTTAAGTCTCTTCTTTCTGTTCTACTAAATTAAAACGACAAACCTCATCATCTGTGCTTTTCAGAGTCCTTGGTTTTCAGAAATATTTTGAGGTTGCCTCTAGTTCAGCAATACAGCAATTCTCATTCCCTTCTTAAGCCTTTCCACCTTAAAAACCATAAACTTTTCACATCCTCAGGCGTCAGTTTCTTTGAAATCAAGATCAGAAGCATCATTTAAAATCTTCCTGATGGCAAATTTATCATAGAATTCAGAGATAAGTTTTCATGAAACTCAAACAATGCACTTTTAAAAGGTACTTTCTTCTATTCTTCCAAAGACAAAAACTTATTTTTCTATTTTAATTTCCTAATCTTTCATTCCATTCCCCATTCCAAATATGTATTCCTACATTTTAAGAGCAGGAGACTTCCTGTACAAAGACACTGACTTTTGCCTTTCACATTTGAAAATGAATAACCCTAAAATTTAGTTGTTGCTTTTTTCATATATTTAAAATTATCTTTGAGCTATCCTAGTTACCACTATAGTTTGGGTCCTTTATTCAAATGGCATTCTGCTATTATAAAACTCAGACTTCAACTGCAAGTTATTTTAAAATGAAAAAAAGTAAATTAAAAAAATTACAGATCTTAATGTCATCTACTTTCATGCTATGACACCTCACGTAACAGCACTTTCCTTTGAACTCAGCTTTGATTACAGAGTAAATCACAGTTTTTTAATCAAAGTTCCCAAGAAAATCCCACAGGTGGAAAAAACTGACCTTAAACGTAAGCTGCCTCCCTAAGCAAAGTCTCAAGGGCTTTATAAGCAACAGTCATAGGACAGGAATTTAGGATGTCAAAATTATCTTTCTTAAATACAGATTTAATTCTTCAATAGCATATCAAACTTCTTCCCAACATAAAGACAGAAAGATAGGTAAAAGAGTCACTCCAAGATCTTCTGAAAGACCAATAGCTCTGCCTACTCTGTCTCCAAATAATCTGAAGACAGTTGTGTCTTCAAGAGGAAAAGGTTCCAAACATTATCCCCAATGGAATTCTTCTGATCCTATAGCT